GTTATAGGTGAAACTGCGTTATATTGAACTTGCTTTGATCCACCGGAGTACGCAGCCCCGCCCCTCCGGAGCGCTGCTTTACCGGTGTTATATCCGAATTTGTGTTATATCGGGTCATGTTATATTGGGGTAGAGGTGTAGTTCATAAATATATTATCTAGACTATACAAGCTGGCTATATCTAGTGAGTGGCTGAAATCACACACAGGACAGAATCTGCAAGTCAACTGAAACTAGGAGCATATCCTTACCTATCTTCTTCTGATTTGATAGGTTGCAGTGTTCATTTACCGAGGTGTCAGTGTTTTGAGGGAGTTTTGCATCCCAAGGGACAGGGACTTTTCCTTTCTTGGGTAATCTGTACATAAAATGAAAAAAAAAATAGTTGTGTGTCAATGGTTACATATCTCCTTAAAGAGTATTATAGGGGGAGCTGACAGTAACCCCTGCATTTAAGTTGCCTAATATTTAACACTATAAAAGATTGTGGAGGCCTTTTATTGAGAAGCTCTAACACTTCTATTGTTTGTAGCAGGCCTTTAAAATTTGGCAGGGACAAAGGCCCAGGGCTAGAGACTTCTGTTTTGCACATCGTATGAAATTTCATTCCGGTTTGACTGAATTATAACCTGATAAACGTAGTCATTTCCCTGCTGTGGCTTATGTTACTCAGGAAAATTTTGGTAGTGCCTCAAAATAACTACGAACGTTCTAAGAGCCAGGCCCATGCTGCATTGGAAAGCCAGGCAGTTACTGGAGCAGCTGTCGTGAAAAGGTGTGGTGTATATAGCCCCAGAGTCCCATATCCTTCTCTGTGGACACCACATGAGGCTCACTACATTTTTGGGGAGGGGAGGGACGAGCTGGGCTGGAGTCCTGTAAGTTTCCTGGCCCCACCATATAGCACTAGCAGCTCATCCCTATCCCTCTTATTTAAAAAAACAAAAGTCTTTAGCTAACTCAGTTTTTTAAAATCTTTATCACAAATGTAGAACACTTTTACACTAAAACTACTATATTAATTATCCTTTTTTAATAGTGCATTAGAAAATCCACTTAGTTGCTACCCTATTTTTATCCTCATGTGAGAGCAATAATGCCTAAACAGACTTTATTCTTTTTTGCTCATTGGTATTGGAAACTGTTATCCTTGAACAGAAGTTCTTAAAATAGCCTGTGTAGTTCTTGTTGCCAAGGCTGTATCTTGCTTTTCACTAATCACTGTGGTCGTATACTGCACATTTGGTTTGGGTATCCCATGAAGATGATGCTAGAATTCTGTACTATACATCTTTATTGTTTATAAATTTGTATCTGCATACACAGCTGTCTGAACAGTGCTTCAAATATATCATTTTTAGGCTTGCTAACATGAGTAGCAAGTTTTTCTGACTTGATGCGT